CATTCTGATGTGAAAATCAGCTTTAGCATTGTGATGGATTTTGCCAACATGATTCTTAAATTATTCTTGGTTAAACATGTACAGTACACTTCTCCCTTTTTTTTCTCCAAGTATTTCATGTAATCATAATAAGCTTTCATTGATTTCATTGGAATGGAAAAAAATCAAAATCTTGAATTTATAAGTTTAATCAATGCTTTATTTTGAAGAAAGAAAAGTCCCTTGTAAAATAATCACTCCCTACCTAATAATATGGTTGTTTAGAATTAATATGTATGCCTGGTAATAAGTACATTACAGGTACATTACAGCATTATGGTTACTAACACTAGTTACCCGACAGAAGGTGCAGTATTACAGATAAGTGTTATATCCCAGGGAGAAGCTAATTGGTTTCTGTTTGTTCTAGCATATAACATCACGCCAGTGGTAGTCCAGCTCCAGCCTGGCCTGGGGAGTACGTACTGTACATGTAGACTTACACACGTGTCCTCTTTACTGAGTTCATACATGTGGGCCATATCAGTACAGCATAATTTGCTTATGATAATTTTGTACTGTATGAAAGTAGCTTTTGGAACAAATGAAGTTATGTTTCTCACTTATGAAGAGTATGTAACATCTTTATATGAGTGAGGACATACACAATGACTGGCATCAAGAGGAGAAATGGCATACTGTATACAGATTCATAATGAGCCTTACATACTTTAACTTTATTAAGTATAATGTGTATTGCTGTATTCAAGTTTCCTTACACACTTGGGATCTTTGTTCACTTCTTTGTGTATTTAAAATGGTAAAGGATATTGGAACTTTTATTTTAGTACTAATACAATGGTAACACAGTAGTAAGTACACTGTGCAATGACATATTAAATCTTATTATTTTTAAGTATACCAGCTAGTGAATTTATCTCTTGTTTTGGATCTAAATTGGCAAGTGCTAAAAGTACTGTATATTACTGTACTTTTAATACTGTACTCAACTCCATTTCACTCACTTCACTGTTATTAAAAAAGTTTGCAGAATAAATTAAAAAGGGTAATTTTTGTTTAGATAATTTATAACATGGCTGACATAGTATCTTCATTAGCACCAAAAAAAAGAATATGACAAATACAGTATAGTCTGCATTTGCGGTCAATTGAACCGTGGAGTACCGCATAAGCGAAAGCGTAAATGAAATAACAGAACATATGGGATTAATTGAAATAGAGACTGGGCAACCCCAAACTCCGCTCCAGAGCACAATAAATGCGGTATAGTAAAAATAACATCTTAATTTTATGATGGTATGCACACACAATTAATATTTAAGAGAAATATCAATAATATTAGGTTTTTAACACTTAAGTTAGTAGAAAAGATGGGTCGGCACACGTGGATGGCGGCTGGTTCCGAGGCGGAGGGCAGATTAGTTGCCCTCCGGTGAATCACTTTCACTACCAGAGGTTTGCAGGGCCTCCCAGACAAACCCTTCCATATCCTCACTCCTCACTATCACTGACTTGGGCTGGCTGTGGTTTGTGGTGGGTTGCAGGCGAAGTCGCCCAATACTCGCTGACGACTAGCATTGATGTTGTCGAGATAGATCTGGATATACGACTCCATAACTTTCGTCAGATGGTTATTAGGCCTTCATACCGATGCTTGTCTGGGTCGTTGTCAGGATGAGCTTAAGTTTTCCCCAAGCGATGATTTCCTTCACATTATCATCTTTAAGTAATTCAATGTTTTTCTGGTGGTGGGGTCCTGCTGAAGCCATTGTGAGTTGTGACGGAATAGCGGGCACAAGAGAGAACTTATCTGCGGCTGAGAACAATGAGACAGGCCCTGCTGTAGTCAGCGACTTCTACCCTCTGGTGGCAGGGCCGTGTATTTACATTAGACAGGGGTCACCAAACATTTTTCACAGTGGGCGGATAACTGAAGAAAGAATGGCGGGCATTCAATCATTCTGTTCAATACTTGCAAGCAGAACGAAAGCTCTGGTAACGCCAGAGAGTAGGCGGAGCTACCACGGCGGGGAAGGACTTGGGATCTGCCCGCGGCCGTAGTTTGGTGACCTGCATTAGACCAATCACAGTAAGCGGCAGAGGAATGCGGGTGGTAAGGATCGTGGCAATCACAGTCGAAACGTCATATGACATCAGCGATAACGTAAAGCGCCTAATGCGTACCACTCACTGCCCGCTTCCGCGTATGGTCAAGAATGGACGCGTGGGTAAAAATGGCGCGGCGGTCTGGCTCTCCAGCTGCTCTCCGCGTAAATGACCAAATTTATCGCGTAATTAAACATTTTCATTCTGGCAGCACAGCGTAAATGACCATACGGCGTAAACAAAATCGCGTAAATGCAGACTATACTGAAAATTAATTATTCCCTTTATCCCAGAAACAAATTCAGAATCAAATGACCTGAAAACTCAAGAACACTGAGGCGAATTCAGAATGGTGGTTTGAGCCGGTTGAGCTTGGCTCAGGCGTGCAATCCGGATTCCTCGATCCAAAATTTTCTGCAGTGGAGGAGATGGGAGGAGCAGTGCAGTACAATGTATATGAATATTGTATGCAGTTCCCCAAGCCTTAGTGTTGTGGTACTGAGGTTATAGAGGTACAAGAGCAGGCAGTAGGAGCATGTCAGACATACATGGATAATATAGAATTTGGACAAAGTTTCTGAAACAGACTTGATAAAAAAATTAATGAATTAGAGACAAGAAGAGAGCAAAGATGGTGATGACAAAGAAAGGATTTGGCAGCACAAATGTTAATTTAAGTGGATTAAACATAAATAAAGTAGAAGTTAATCTGAACCTCATTATTTGTCTGAGTACTGAGCTGTCAAGATATGCTCAGTAACCTCTTCAATATATGGAGATTGAATATATCTGGAGAATTACTGTTGTGTATATTATTTATTAATATAAAATTAATGATGTATTGACTCATGAAGTGAGTTTGACCGTAACATTAACAAGCTTTAAGAATTACCCTGCCGTGGTCATCATTTAGTCAGGAAAGAAATTCTTATATCAGGCACACCACGATTATCCGGAACTGATGGTCCGCACCTCCTTTAGTCGGACAAATTGAAGGCACTTAACCCTCCTTCCCTGCCTCCCAGCCAGGGTGAAGCTAGTTTTAGGCTAAAAGTTTTTATCTTATGAAATGTAGCTGACTAGATTTAGCAGAATATAAATTGCATTGCTGGAATCATTTGTAAGATAGTGATTAATTTGAGTATAAACATCACATAGTTTAATTTAAGTTTCTAGCAGTTCATGATGCTTTACAGACACAGTAGGTGTATCATTAGTGGGTCAGAGGTATATTGTTGAATTTTTATTACCTGACCTCGGTTGGTCCGCAAAACGGATAATCCAAGGCTTTGGAACCAAGGGTGCGAATCGGTGGTGACCCATAATAATATTTTTTTTTATAGTACAGCATAGCAGCTGTTTGTCAGAATATTTTAATTTTTTCCTACTTCATCAACATAAAATATGAACATCATGCATGTATTCCTTATACTGTCAGATATGACCCTCCTTTACTGTACACTGGTATATATTTCATGTGGATACATACTCTGCATGTACTGTATATTCAAAGTCAAGATTTCATTATTTATGGCAACTTTTGTAAAGGTGATCTTCCTTCCAGTTTGTGATGCCTGCATCAAAGTGTGTGCTTTATGTGTGAATCGAAGTTGCCATTTAAGCATGTGATGAATGTATTGCACTCTGCCAAGATTGATGCTTTTATTGAAGTAGCTTACATCAAGCTTACCTCACATTTCTTCTTTCATTGAAGCAGCTTAAATCAGGCTTACCTCACATTTCTTTTATTGAAGCATCTTACCTCATAGTTCTTCTTTTATTGGACTCTATGAGGGACTCTGGGCAAGAAAAAACAAGCAGCAAAGTTGCTAATTTTAACTGCATTTTTTTTTCTGCTTCTTCTCTGGACCTCATAACCTCTTTACTCATATTGGTCTATAATCTGTGAAAGTTACTCTGAACCCTTGCTAATAATGATGCACAGTTGTGGATACATAGAGAATAGATAATTTCTCTCAGTAATACATGCAACTCAGATGTGTGTTTTATGGTACAGTCTATGTCAAGACACTAGTGGCACATCTTAATACTACTGTACAGTACTTTGTAATGGGAGTTACTGGTGACACATGTTGATACTTGGCAATGGTAGGAACTGGTGAGAAAGATAACTGCTTTTGAGATGTTTCATGTTTCAGAATAGAGTGAGGCACAAGTCAAAGATTCATGGTGCATTAGGTGGAGTTTGTTAACCTAACCTAATGTAACTACAGGGTATTAGGATTGGGGTCTACAGTGTTGATTTGTAAGATAATTATTTTGGGGGATTTATTTTGGATATGACTGTGACTTATGTGTGTTGAGTTGAGGATGAGTGGGGATACTCAAGTAGCCAACTAAACAATGGAGTTGTTTTATTCTAGTAGCTCAGTGAAAAGGCTTTTGTAGATATAATTTACTTTTGCTTGTTGCCTCATGATAAATATTTATTTGTTGCTGTAGTTTATTGAAAAGTTATGTAGAAATGCTGAAGTTATTGATGATAACTTTGTCCATTTTCCTCTCATCAACTTAACAATTATCTCTCTTGGCTGCTACTGGCAAGGTGTGTTGTACTGATTCATGTGGTGATGGCAACCATCTGCTTTATACAGTACAAGTTTTTATTTGATGGGAAGTTTCTCTTCTAATTTCTGTATGGCATTAAGTTAGGAAAATTAAACTTACTTAAACTTCTTTCAGATTAATAGTACAATAATTTGAAGTTTCAGAATGTTTGTCACAATTCATTGAAGGGAAGTTATAATTTATTTTAATTTATTATGTTCTTTCTGGCTTTCCTCTTTTATAAATATTTTGAATGAGGTATTAAGACTTAGAAGTCAGCAGCACACACAAAGTGAATTGACAGGAACCTGATGTTTGTCTTCCAGCAGGCTCATGTTACTGATGATGAAATTAAAATGGCAGAGGACAAGTTTGCTGAATCGTTGCACTTGGCACAGATGGGCATGCACAACCTCCTGGAGAATGATGTAAGTAGTCAGTGATATGTCATAGTAAGAAACATCTCTAGAATACTGTACAGTATAATATTTCAGTAGATTGATATCACAATTATCAAGAGAGACATGCATACCCATTAATCTCCTGCAGCTCCTGCAGGGCGGTGAACACCCTGAAGTGAAGGACATCTTTGAGAATACAAAGTTGCTTTAATAAATGGTGTCATTATCATCATTGTCATATTATCACTGTTACCAAGTTTCACCGAGTAGGGTATAAGAGTACAATGTACAGTACTGTATTTATGTTATGTGGGGCAGATGCTGTACTACCAAAGTGAAGGAAGTATCAGTAGTTATGGCATCATTGTTTGGAATTCGTGTAGAGTCTTGCAAGGTGACTCATTTGCAGCAAACAACACCCTGTTGGATATACTGTATAATATACCATTACAAAAAAAAAATATTGATCCTTTAAATTTTCACATGATGTTCATACAAAAATAGTTTCAAGGATGAATATAATCGTTTACAGCCTAAAATGTTTTATTCTACTACTATATAGTACTTAGTCATATTTCCCTTATTTTATTACCAGTTGAAGTCTTTTTGGCATGGATTCTGCTAACATTTGAAAATACTCTCCATCCATCTCAAACTCCCATGTGCTTGATTTCTCCTGTAGCCGATGTACAGTTGATGTGTCATGTGTTGACAGCTTCTCGCTTCATCTCGTGCCATACATTCTCGATGGGTTTAAATCTGGTGAGTTCCCAACCTCCAGGAATGGGATAGCTCTCTTTCATGAAGCAAGTTGTCACACAGTTTGACTCAGATAGGGGGCACCGTCTTGCATGAAGAATGTGGACCCGGTGAAGTTGATAATAATCCAATAAATGTTTTTCCAAGACAGTCTTGTCCGATCAGAGTTCATTGTCGTGTTTTGGGGAGGAAATGGAGGCCAGCACGACCCGTTTTCCACTGAACGGCTCCCCACACGTCACACTTGCAGGATGTTTCCACGGTTTTAATGGTGTAATGAGGATCAAACCGCTGGTGTTGGTGGGCTTTCTGACTGTTCGTTTCCTGCAGTCAGGATGCAAAATGGCCTTTCATCAGACCACATCACAGAATTCCATTGTTCTTGTCCCAGTGCTGGTATTTTCTTGCAAAAGCAAGCCGCTAGCCATTCAGCCCTGTAGAAGTGGTTTTTCGTGCAACAGCGGGAAGGCGGATGAAGTTCCTTTTGAAGGTAATGTTGTGTTCATTCTGATACGTTTAGCAGGAGGATGGGGTGTGCATTCTTCAGTTGTGATGCACTCATATTAGGATCTCTTATTATCTCAAGCCTCAGTAGTGAATCAGTGCATTTGGAGGTCTTCCTGGTGATAATTTCCTTGGTGAAATAATGTTGGCGGGAAGGTTGCATGTCTATCGCTTGAGCCTCTTAATTGTTGCCATTCCTCGTCCTGTTCTCCTTGAAATTTCTCTCACAGTGACTTTTCCTCTGGCAGGGCAAGGATCCAACCGTTCTTTGCTCAGATATCTTTTTGGGAGTCATGAATATGGTTTTTAAAAAAAATTGGGCTAATTGTGGGCGTGTCTTAATTTCCACTTATGAGCTTGGTGAGCAAATTAACGCACCCTGATCGATAAGCAAGTGGGTACATTTTCTCCAACTTCTAGTCGTCAGGGAAACACGTAGAGTTGCCAGATGTTATATATTCCTGCCTTGACAAATTTGGGGAGCTGGTTTTATGAAAAGCATGCATACTGTATAAACACAGCTAATTATGCAGGGATCAATATTTTTTATGGTGTTTTAATTTCAGATGTATTTGTTAGATCAGTCTCAATATTTCAGTCACATCTCATACATTGTCTTTTAAAGTATACAGTATTTTCTATTTATGAAATGGTGTACTGCATTATGTTGTAAATACAGTACTATATATATTATACAAGTACTGTACTATTTTTTTAATACTGTACATATTAAATATGTAAGATTGTATATATGTACAGGTATTACTTTTGGGCGTAAAAGTATTTCCTTAAAGAAGGCAAGATGTTTCTCAGAATAGCATCACCAGTTATGTAATGGATTTTACTGGGAAAAGAGGATTTGTTACATGGAATTGTATCAGGTAAAACTTTGCAGGAAGATAACATGTTTGATGGAAACATATTGTGCTTGTTTTCTATATATTTAAACATGAGAAAATTCCATTTTCCAATCATTATCCAATGTTTTATATTTTCTAACTATAATGTTCATGAGTAATAAATAAGACAGTACAGTACTGTATATAACAAAGTGAACTATTACTACCACATGGTATTTTACTACAGGTTGAACAGAATCTTAGCTTGCAACCTATGAGAGAACTTGGCGATTATCCAGACAGTGTACGGAGATTTTAGAGGTCCTGGCTGAACACTCCATGATAAGTAAGACTCATATGAAATATATAACAGTATAGTATTTCATGTCTTAATGCAGAAACTTAATTAATTTTATTACGTTTTATTTGTAATGAATTGATTACGTGCGTTGTTAAAATACTGTATGTTATTGTCATTACCTGGATAGTTATGAGCATCACTTTGTCAGTAGCAGCTGAGTTATGTTAGATAGATAGATAGATAAATAGATAGATATTTCATTAAATTATGTCACATTTCTTTACTGTACATTGATTCAGCATTTATATAGACAGTCCAGGTATACAAGATACAAAGATACTGTAATTTTTGTTCAATCCAGAATCGACGCCTAGCTTTATACCTATGTATATAAATGCCTAGCAATAACTCGCCAGGCCAACATACAGGCATTTAAAACATCTAATAATTACTAATAAGTAATATTAGTAGGACACGTCGCCTACCTGGCATTTAATTGCAATTCAAAATACCCTTCCCCACCCTCCATCACACTCACTGCCACCGTCATCTTCTTGCCTGGCCGAATGTTTCTGTAATATGCAGCTCTGCTAATTTGTGTTGTAATAGCTGAAATACTAAGTGCTACGAGGATTTTATATTTGGTATTTATATACATCTTAGCACGGTGAGGAAATTAGGTGACTTTTATTTTGTTTATGTCTCTCAGATATTGTGTTTTGGGACAAATTTTATACGGTTTGATCAGGCATGGCGACCACGCAC